ACAATCTGAAATGTTAGTAATTGCACAGCAATCATTAAACAACGAAAAGACAGTGACTGTATTTGCGTAAAATCCAGTGTGCTGACTGATGAATATCTGAAAAAAAAACTGCCCTATTTGATGTGTTGGACAGTAAAACAACCATTTACTGATCATTATTCTACTGTACAGATTATGGCTTCTAGTTTCTCTAAAGGAAGTGCAATAGTTTAACACGTTGGCCCGAGTGCATATTTCTCACATCTCATGTAAACATCAAGTTGATTTTCTCTGCAGGGTCACTGTCACCTCAAAGATCAGATGACACCATGGAAAAGGAACAGTTGACAATTCTATCATATTTAGAATAAAAGGAGATGTTTCACAAAAAAAAAATTCACAAAGAAACAAAACAAGACATGCAAAAAAAAAAAAGCAATAACCATCTTTCAAATTATCACTTTTCATGCTGATATGCAAGTTTGTCTATTGTCCAATGTGCATAACTTTATGTAAATCAGCAACATCAATTATAGATATAGGTTAGCTAAAAATAAAAATGTGCTTACCCTCAGGTCATCCGAGATGTAGATGAGTTTGTTTCTTCATCGGAAAAAAAGATTTGGGTAAATTTAGCATTGCACCACTTGCTCATCAGTGGATCCTCTGCAGTGAATGGGTGCCGTCAGAGTCCAAACAGCTTTTTATCTTAAAACCACTTCAGTCTGGACTGCAGAAACCGGATCTCAGGAACGTAGAGATTTTAAAATATTAACACGTAAAGAAATGGTGCTGAGAAAAAAAAAAAAAAAAACATCTGGTTGCATTGTTACCAAAGAATGAGGTGCTAAAAATAATTTTTCATTTGAACACATCAGGTGCTATAAATTACATACTTGACCATCATTTTAAAAGGTTTTTGTTTGTATATGAATAACTCAATGGTGCTTAATGTTAAAGTACTGTAAGGATGTCTAGCATTTCTTTAATTATTTTAAATGCCACAATAAAGGTTTGTTTTCACTGATGTCCTTTTGAATTATTGATGAATGCAATCGATATTTTCTTGCCCCTTCCTTATAATTGAAAATTATGAATTGAAAATATAGTGTACATTGCTGCAGATGGATGTTTCAATCTCAACACATTCCAAACCTTATTTTCTTTTGTCTGCAAAAAATAGTAGGCTTCAATCTCAGTCCTCGATCCAATGCAGGATCTTTATGGATGGTGTTATGGATCTACTTTAAAAATGTAAAAATTCTTCCTAGAATTTTATGTTTCACCTATAATATGGGTAAAATATTTAGACCACATTTTTATTTTTGAGAGAACTACTTGTTCAGTGTGATATCTGCCACTGAGCTCAAGTTTTTTATCAGATAAATAGAGAGCTTGTGTTCTAACACCCTCTAGTGGTGAGAGGAAAAATGCATTTTATTATAATCACAATAATACCAGATTAAATAATCATATCGGTCTTTTATATAGGAAAGATGATTTAGAAAGAACAAAAATCTGATTTTATTTCTCCCAATAAATACAAATTCATCCAAAAATTACTTTCGACATGTATCATTTGTGATTTGTCATGAAAAAGCAACTATACATTTCTCTAAAAATATTTGACACATAAAAGAACAATCAACATTGAGTAAAATTATTCGGGTGCCGTCAGAGTCCAAACAGCTGATAAAAACATCACAGTAATTCACACAACCATCAGTCCATCGGTTAACGTCTTGTGAAGTGAAAGCTGCATGTTTGCAAGAAAAAAACAAAACAACATTGAGGCATTTTTAACTTCAAACCATTGCTTCTGGTCAAAATATACGAGTCCTCTATCCATTCTCTTTTTCTTGAGTGAAAAAGTTGTCTTAGAGAAATATGCATAGATCAAGTACAGTTTACAAGTGAAAACAGTTCTAAACAAATATGTCAGTGGATTTTTGATGCGAGAGGACAACAGGGAATGGGAACGTTATTAAGGATTGTGGCCAGGAGCATCGGTTTGAAGTTAAACATGTCAAAAAACGATGGATTTGTTTTTTTATAAACATGCTGCTTCTCATTTCACAAGACATTAACTGATGGACTGGAGTTGTGTGATGTTTTTATCAGCTGTTTGAACTCTCATTCTGACGGCACCCATTCACTGCAGAGGAGCCATCGGTGACGCAAATCTAGTACATTTTAATTTTTGAGTGAACTATTCCTTTAACAATGCAGTGTACAGATCTGAGAAAAACAACTTTGCGCTCTTTAGTCTCCGTAAATACTGGCAAAAGTCTCTCTCATATGCAGCATCTGAGCAGGTTACAAGGTTGCATCTCTCCCATGGAGGAAGGGGAAAAAGACAAAGTAGCTCAGATTTGATTTCGGTTCTCGGCCCCTGTGAGGGTCTCGGATGAACAGATGCACTGTTGCCCTCTGGTCCCACAGAAAGCTACCACCCACCTTCTGAGTGACTCGTGGGACAATTCAGCATTATTACTAAACCCTGTCAACTTGGCAAGCTTTCTACCTGAGATAGACGCAAAAACAAAGCAGGATGACATGAGCAAGAGTGCTGATGCTATAATATCACAGCCGGGACAATTTAGTGCAACAGATTGAGTTTAAAAAAATTTTTTTTTTTAATACAAAAGTTCAATAAACGAGAGGTTTATGGATTATGGGTTTATGGAAAAATCCAGTTTTTGAATTTTTTGCACAGAGGGATGTTAACAGCAGTTAAAATTAAAATGGCACAGAGGAACGTTTTATGGATTAGGCCAAAATTAAAGTTAACACCAAATCAAAACTTTTTTTTGTCAGTAACGTTTTAACTGACAAAGTGAAAGTTAAAAGATGACATATTCATGCTCGATAGGTCAACGAAAATGAAAATTCTGTCATCAGTTCTTCCTCAAATTCTTTCAATTGGTTAACTCACGCTAATATCAGGTTTTCTTTTCAAAGCATGAATGCAAATAATGCACTAATGCAAATGAGGCAGCAGTACCGGTATGACTGTAATACTCTGCAGATTTCCTTTGTGAACACAGAAACTGTTACTTGCACAGCATTCATATGAAATAAATATTCATATGAATAAACTTCAAATCAAAATATTGAGTCAATTTAAGTGCTATTTGTTTTGAATGCTTTCATACATTACTATGATAATCAATGTACAGCATGGTGATCTTTTAGTAATGAAATATGAGTAACACCTCATTGGGTAAACCTTATCCTTTATCATCATTTGGTAACCAAATGACTTCTATTGTATTTTCTGTCCATCCTGTGGAAGTCATACAGGTTTGGAATGACATGAGGCTGAGTAAATGATGACAAATTTAATTTTTGGGTGAACTGTCCTTTTAATTATAAACTCCGAGGTTTGAAAGCCCCACTTTATAAAACTTCCCATATTCGTCTTTGGCTATTTAGGTTTGTTATCGTATAATTTCTTTCCTGTTGCCGCTAACTTTGCTGACACATGACCAGGCCCTTGCTAACTCAGTTCCTGAAAGGATATCCGGTTTCAAAGCAAATGTTAAAGACCCACATCAGGGATACTGATGGCTAATGCTTAACGTATCCTTATCCAAGCACACAGAGCGTGACTGACCATAAAGCTTCGAAACACAAGTCATCAGCAAAATCTTAAACCTTTAGAGGCTTCGACAGGCCATCATAGTTCAGTAAACTATGAAAAAGTGAAATTACAGCTGCAATATCATCGTCCTTTTCAGTGTAAAAATCATTAAAATATTAACAATACTGATTTAGATTTTTTTTATCATCTTATTTGCAAAATGTTGTAAGATAACACGTTTTCACAATATATCTTAAAGTTAGTTTTTTTTTATTTTTTACTTGTTTTAAGCATAAATCTAACAAATTACTAAAAGGTAAATAATAATAATATAATAAAATGTAAGATTTAAGGTATATTCTCTGAAAACAAGTCTTAACATATTATTTAGTATATTATTATATGTGACCCTGGAGCACAAAAGCAGTCTTAAGTCGCTGGGGTATATTTGTAGCAATAGCCAAAAATACATTGTATGGATCAAAATTATTGATTTTTCTTTTATGCCAAAAATCATTAGGATATTAAGTAAAGATCATGTTCCATGAAGATATTTTGTAAATTTCCTACTGTAAATATATCAAAACTTCATTTTTGATTAGTAATATGCATTGCTAAGAACTTCATTTGGACAACTTTAAAGGCGATTTTCTCAATATTTAGATTTTTTTGCACCCTCAGATTCCAGATTTCCAGATCCAGTATTTCGATCAAATATTGTCCTATCCTAACAAACCATACATCAATGGAAAGCTTATTTATTCAGCTTTCAGAAGATGTATAAATCTCAATTTTGAAAAATTGACCCTTATGACTGGTTTTGTGGTCCAGGGCCACATATTATTGTTGAATTTTTTTATATTATTTATCTTGTTTATTTTTACTGGGTGAAATAGACATTTAAAATATACATTCTTCCAGTGAAGATGAAAAATCATAAAATCCTAAAGTATACCTGTATCCTGTTTGTAATTGTAAGATAGCATATCTTAAACCTTCAGAGGCTTCGACAGGCCATCATGTTCAGTAAACTATGTTCACTATGTGATGCAACAGTAATTTATGCACATCGTTTTTTTGTTTTGTTTTAGTCAACTTATCAGACCTTTGAAACTTTTAAGATCGTTGCACCAGCAAATAACATATTTTTATATCAACACTTCAATGCAAATAATGCATTAATCCTGATATGACTGTAATACTCTTTGTAGATCTCCTTTATAAATACAGAAACCATTATGTTTTTTTTGTTTTTTTTACAAGATATACTTTTTGACGATTTTGCCTTTATTTTAGATAGGACAGTGTGACGAAAGCGAAGTGGGAGAGAGAGAGGGGGGGTGGGATCGCCAAAGGTCTATGAGCTGGGATTCGAACTCGGGACGCCCGCAGCGCAATGGCGCTATACGTCGCTGCCCACGAGGCTATCGGTGCCGACCATTATAGCGGTTTAAGCCAATTTAGTGCATAGAATTCATATGGAGTAGACATTTCTATAAATAAACGTCATATCAAATCAAGTCCATTTAAGTGCAATTATTTTCATACATTACTATGATTACGTTTGGAGATCTTTTCATAGAAACATGAGTAAAACCACGTTGGGTAGGCGTCTTGGTGTCACCAGATGGTGTGTATGGAGAATAATCTCATTAATTGTAACTGTTTTTAAACCATAAAAACATCATTTTATAGCCATGAAGTGGCTAAATCACTTGCTATAGTTCTTGATAGAGAGTCTAAAGCAACAAATCTGATTAAATAGTAAAACATGTTGGTATTCCTTTGTTATTATGGTCTGTCTGTGATGTGGTGGGAATTCGTAACAATTGTGGAACTTGAAAACTGAATCACGAACCACAAAAGGCTGTGAAACTCCTTACTATCATTCAGTTTCACTTCTCGCTTCAGCTTATTCAGCTGCCCATTTGAAACCGACCCATTCCTCTTAATGTTTCTCTGTTGCATATGGGTTCTCAAGCAAGTAGCGATATTTTTCATAGTTGTCCAGCAGGTATTTGGGCGCATACATATGCTCTTTGGGGTCTGAGGGTGGGTAGTCTGGAGCAGACCCATCAAACCAACCCCCTGTCCGTATTAACTCTTTAATATAACTCATCTTCCGTTTCTCGCTGTAATCGCCCCAACGTGGGAAGTCTCCATTTTGCGCCGATATGAGTTTATAATAAATTCCTTCTGGTTTAAAACACCAAGAACAGTGCCATCCAGCATAGTGAATTGGGCTTCCGATGGCCCACGGCACCAGAATGCGTCCCGTGGAGTTCTCGTATTCCCGGAATCCCGACATGGAATAATACAACCGGCGCCGGAGATAAATACCATCACCCTTGTAAACCTTAAAGAGCATAGCTGCCGTGCAAGCAGATAAAACGTCCAGCGTTCCAAACTGCCTCCAGTAGAATCCGTATAGGGATTTGCGCATCTGGATCCCAACCGGTTCCGTCCAGCCGTCGTAGAGCTTGAGGAAAAGGATTCCACCTCGAGCAGGAATTTCATCCGCATCATTGATGACGAAAACATCGTCCGCTTTGAAGCCCTCAAGCCTCGACATTCCGTTTTTGGTTAAATACGTGCGAAGGTAATCATCCGCGATCCAGCCGTCTGCGTGACCGCCATCAGGAAAATGGTCCAGGAAGACGTACAGGATTTTTTGCTTTATGTAGTCAAACGTTCCATTTAGGATCAGCTGCCGGAATAAAAGAGGTCTTGAGTCACCGTATGCAGTGAAATTGGATTCGCAGACCAAAAACACATCCACGACATCTCCAAGTTCGTGGAATCGAGCGTGTAGTAGGTCAAACTCGTGGTTGATGTTGATGGCATTGATGACCCGACGTGGAACTTTTCTGGGTGTTACTTTTGACTTGGACGGGAGATTGGAATGATACACAATGGTAGGGATGCCACAGTGAGGGCCGTGCCAACCCTGCCGGCAGGGACACTGAAGCACCTTCTTGTCTGCGTTGATTGCTTCATCTTTGGGGCTGATTTTTCGGCGATGTTGCAGTAACCTGCGGTGAGATGCAGAGGCGGTCATATCCGTCCCCTCTCTGAAGCACACTGCTCCGGATTTGGTGTGGATGAAAAAGGCTGTGGGATCATCACGGAGTACAAAAGTACGTTCATGAATTTTCCTATCTGGAGGATCTGGCAGGATCACATTTGAGTCAACACTGACCTGTTTGGAGGAAAAGAAGATCATTATAAATACATTTTCATACATCTATGGTATGAAAAAGTGACATTTTTGTATTAGTTATGACACTTAGTATTATTAGTTATTCTGTCATTTACTGGGACACCCAAATCTAAAATATGACGATTCCCTTCAAACAAACAAACAAATAAATAAATATAAACACAAATATTAAGTGTGGTATAAGTTTCAAATGTTGTAAACTTAAATGTATAGACCTGAAGTAAAAATGTTCAATTAATTTGTATCTATCACTTTTAACACTGTCCCAAGTGGGCTTTATTCTGTAAGTGTGCAAAAATGTATTGTTAAGCATTTTTTTAACCCTTAAATGCATGAATGTTTTGCCAATCATTTTTACATATTCGGGTCTTTAGCGACCCGGACCTATATATCCAGCACGGATGGATCTCTAACTGCTGCGATAGCAAAAAACTCTCTTGACATTTTAAGAACAATTACGGAAGAATAGAATAAAGCATATTTCGTTACCTTTTGAAACTTAAAAGGGTTCAATTTGAGCAGATGATTTTACCATCGCTGTCATCGTCAGAGTGCACTTACACAGTACATCCAGCATCTGCCTCACATTCATGATCTCAGCCATATTCTCAAAACTATCGTTTTCAATGACTTCATATTCAATATTTTGATCACTGGCAGCTTATTCACCACATCCAGCATCAAATGGCAGTGACATTTATATTTCATTGTGTATAGTAATTGCTCTGCAGTAACGCTAGGGCTGCACAATTAATCGAATTTCTAATCGTGATTACAATTACAGATGCCACAATTACGTAATCGCTCAAATCGGCAATTAATCGTTTAAAGTCCACTTATGTTATTCTGCACGCTTAGGATGTGTTTTTTTCTTTCTACAGGTTATTGTAAGAGTTTTTCCATTGTTTTAATTTTAGTTTTAATATAACATTATAATACCATTCATATTTTTATTTTATTTTTTATTTAAAGAAGAAAGTCATTCAAACCAGTTAAATTTTAGCTGATGATATTCACTTGTTTTTATGCCTGCGGTAATTATGAGTGAAACATCACGTCATCATTG